ACATCTACTTTTATCCTCAATAAAGAATCAAATGCAGATGCGTTGTTACCCATGAGGACTAATGTGGAATGCCTCTTTTCCAGTAAAAAGGGTCTCCGGTTTTCTACACACACCATACGAAACACCTGGTCACCTATTTGTGCTAAACTATACTACTAATATAGCTGCAGCATGGCTTTACCTATTATTATAAATATCCTAAGCTGTTGTAGAGTAACAACTTTGAAATATTATTAAATAACGTGAAAATCGTAGCAAGTTATTTTCTTACACACCTATTAGTTTCTATGATTGTATTAGAGACGTACTGAAATCATGACAATAGAGAATAATTAACACGCGAAACTTATCCCGAGAGATATGTAAATGAAATTGACCACAACATCGTAATCAAGGACTGAATTTTTAAAAACTAATGACTATGAAAACAAGTGAACGAAACGAAACAAATGAATAAAAACTAATTTAGCTATAAAACGCCATATTTTAAAGACATTTAATGTATGTTACATTACTGTATATAAAAGTCCATTGCTGGACATAGGCCTCTTATTTTGTGTTAGCTGAGTTTTCTCAAACCCACCAAATAGCAACCATCGCGTGGTGAGTATTTTTTCGTTGCGTAAACAGCTGCAATTCAGCAAAACCTGGCAGATCAAGTGCGGTACATCATTAGATTAAAACAAAATGGGATAAATTCTCTTCCTTGTTAAAGTCGACATATACATAATCTTCGAATAGTGTGAGGGTTATTAAGTTTGTGAAAGACTAGGATGCGCTTCGCTTTGGTGCTTTTGTTTTTATTATAATTCTCGTAGTGGAATGTCTGTCCCATTTACGGCATTGATGTGTCATTAAAGTGTAGAGTTAAAGTTTAAAGTAAAATGTTTAAAAAAAAACATACTTGTGCCGGACGGGCGTAACTCTCCGGAGTAAATGTTGTCGAAGATACTCCGCGAGTCGCTCACATCCTATACCTATAGGTTTCGGAGGATACTTTCACTGCCGTCTTTGTGTGTGTTGCTGGAAAACTGTGGACTGAGGTTCAAAATTAAAATGCACGATTTATAAATTCAAATAGCAAGGGAGTGGCCAGCGGTTCGACTGATTAATTAGTCGCGAAATTTTATAACTATTTATTTATTGACCACGGTTGTTGAACACGGTTGTTCAACTACGGTTGTTCACTATCGGTTGGTCACTATATATTTCAAAAGATTCAATTAAAATGTGCAGTAATATTAAAATTTCTATTGGTATTAAAATATCTATTGGTAGTATCAAAATATCTATTGGTAATATTGAATATCTATTGGTAGTATTAAAATATCTATTGGTAGTATCAAAATATATATTGGTAGTAGCTGGTTTTCTAACACTACTGACTAGCAGCTATTAATCAACTAAAACTAGTTGAATTTATCACTTGTGTACTTGGGAATATCAGTTACCACCCTTTCCGTCTAGCTAACACTTTTCACTATATGTAACGGCGAATTTTCCGTTAACATTTTTTCGGCTAGCTAACACTTTTTTAGTATATGTAACTGCGAATTTTCAGTTACCACTTTTTTCGGCTAGCTAACACTATTTTACTATATGCAACTGCAAATTTTCAGTTGCCATTTTTTTCGGCTATGTGTAACTGCGATTTTTAGTAACGACCTTTTTTGGCTAGCTAAACTTTTCTAATTCACTATTACTGTTCACTATGTTCTGCTACTAGTCACTTCAGCTACTACCGGATACTACTGCTTGTCACTGGTAGTTCTTCCTACTACAACGTTACTGGGATTCGCCCCCATAAGGTAGACTTCGGCTATACTGTATAGAGAGCCGCTTGCCATTTTCCGTTTTGCCTCTTTATTTTTAAACATTTTCATTATGTAATTAACACAAATCGCAATATTTTCTATACAAGGCTAATTTTTACATTAACACGCTATACATCATTAAATAGGCATTTTGGTCCTTTATCAGTATGTGATAAAGGTTATTCAATACATTAATATTTAAAAAAGTTATTAAACAAAATGTACCAAATTTTCATAACAAATGTGTACATTAAATCTTTAATTTTTCTATAACTACTAAATGCGTTTAATTATACAAAATATTTCTTTACTATCGCAATCTATATACCATATGCTAACTAAATATCATATTTACAACTGTTTTAGAACACAAAAATATTCTCATTATTTTCATACAAATTATTGCGCAGTTAATTAAACTTCCAGAAAGTTCTACGATATGATGTGCTGTGATTGGTCGAATTTTTCTTAAATGCTTAAAGTTGTTTATATCAACTATTCTTAAAACGACATTCTATACAAATATATTAAGAGTTGTAAACACATTGTAAAACCATATTAATACACAATTTGTTCGATTTCGTTGCTAATTTCACTTTTTATACAAAATAATATTCTTTCATCACTTTTTTCTTAAAGTCTTTAGGCCGTCGCGACAATACTTTTACATATTTTTGTCCGATTTATATTGGGGGTACCCGCAAGTAGTTTTATTAATTCGTAATGTATCCAAATATGTAACAAAGGTTGAAATAAATTCTTAAGGTGTTATGAATGACTTATGGTTTTGCATTTAGTGTCCCGTCCTAGTAGCCCCTGCCGCAGCCGCCCTCACCTCTGCAGCTCCCGCCGCTGCCTCAAACCCCGCAGCCCCCGTCGCTGCCTCTACCTCTGCAGCTCCCACTGCCATCTCTGACTCCGCAGACCCGCCGCTGTCGTTGCCCCCTAATGTTGTTAGACATTCCCCTGCTCACTAAGCCAGCATCTCACTGCACCCCCACCTTCGCCAATAAACAGGTCCCGCCCCCTGTTCTTCTCAGAGACAAGGCACAATTTACCCACGTATTTAAAACCTGCTACAACGCAGGTATCGAATATGATCAGGCCACCAACCTCGGTGAAGCCTTCAAAACAATTCCCCAATCCATCGAAGACTTTCGTCGCCTCACCAGGCGTGTCACAGCCGAACGTGTGTCCTATCACACGTACGCTCTTTTGGAAGAGCGTAAGGTCAGGGCCGTGATCCGCGTAGTGCCTTTCGAACTCTAGAATGACGACATCCTTGAGGACCTTAAGTCCCAGGAATTTCCGGTTGAGTCGGTACACAAGATGCACAGCAATAAGGGCAAGAGGTTCGCGCTTGCTCTTGTTATCCTTACAAACGTGCCAGAGGCAAAAGCCATCTTCCAGCAGGTACACACCGTGTGCGGCCTGTCGAGAGTTAGGGTCGAGCCTCAACATAGGCGCGGTCACCCAGCGCAGTGCCACCGCTGCCAACTTTATGGGCGTGCGGCGGCCAATTGCTCTGGTGCGTTAAGTGCCTAGAGCCGGAGTGTCCTCGGCCACAAAACGCCGAATAACCATCCGCATACGTCCTGTGTCAGCAGTCTGGCCATACGGCTAATTGCAGAGGCTGGCCTCGCGCTCCTCACACTCGTCCCAGTAAACAAGCTCTACCGGCGGACAATGAAAGGTCATTCTCGGCTCTCCCTACAAAAATGCCCCGTCAGGGCCTTTCGAGCCCCTTCAGCGCCCCTCTCGAGATACTCAGGGTCCCCCTAGGCCCCCTCTTCGGTTCCCTCCGGACTTTTCTCAGCCGTCACAGACTCCAGTTTTCCCCAGGGGGCCCAAAAAGGCCGACTCTCCACGAACATTCACCACCCCACAACAGGCACAACCCTCTTTGTTTGATGACCTCAATACGGTGTATGCCACTATTCGGAGCATCAATATTGGCGTGATTGCCATATTAGTACGCAAACTGCGCGCTGCTCAGTCCCGTCAAGACCGTCTCCTCGCTCTTGCTGAGCACCTTAACCTTTTGAGCTCATTGTAAGTTAATTTATTTTAACTTAACAGTCGCAGAGCACTCTGCTGTCCTAAGATCTTACAGTCGTATTAAGCCTAAGGGTTTAACGCTTGTATCCTTTAATATTCGCGGGTAGCGACATAACCTTCTCGAGCTTAAGCTCTTTCTTCGAGATCGCGAAGCCGACCTCCTCCTCCGTCAGGAGACCAATCTCAAAACTAAGGAGATCAAAGGCCTTTCCACCCAAAAGTATTCTTTTCTTCGTAACGACAGACCTGACCGCAAAGGCGGCGGTACTGCCATTTACTACAAGCAGACACTTCATTGCTTTCACATCCCCATTCCGCAGCTTACCAACATGGAAGTTATGGGATGCAGGCTAGCCTTGAATGGATATTAGTCCATCGCCGTAGCCTCCTGCTACATCCCTAGTGGAACCCAACCCCTCAAAAAAGATTTTGAGGCTGACCTTGCATTAGGCAATTCAGTCATTATTTTTGGAGATTTTAACTCCAAGCATACTGAATGGACCTGCCTTACTACTTCCCAGAGTGGCAAGAAACTGCTTGATATCACGCAGTCTCTTGACTTTAACGTCCACAGTCCCTTCGGTGTCACTCACTATACAGACAACACCGACCACGCCTCTGACGTGTTATACTTTGCGCTAGTTAAAGGAGTTTCCTTCAACCTCAGGGCAATCGAGACTCTTGACGATCTAGTATCTGACCACCGCCCGGGCCTCATTCTTGGCCATCAGCCACCTCCCTCAACCCCCTCCATGAAAACCTTCACCAACTGGAAGGGCTTCAAGGAGTCCTTAGCCAAAGCTATGGACTCACAGGACTCCCCCATCTCCCTCTCGTCGGACTTCGACAGTCCCGAAAAAATCGAAACCGCGATCGATTCTCTCTCCACCCTTATAAAATCCTCCCTTAAGGAGAATAAAAGGGTCATCCCGGTTGCTAATAATAATGGTGTTCCCCTACATATTAGCAACCTATTGAAAGCCAAGAGAGCTGCTTTCCGGAGAGCAGCACTATATCCCACCCCCGACTATAGGCGTAGGGCCAATCGTCTTCAACGAGAATTCCGTTCCCGCCTCTCCGAACTTCGAGACCTCGAAAAGAGTAATCTCATGGAGAATATCTCTCCCTTTAGTGCCGAAGTGCGAAGGGCGAGTCGGGGTGCGGGTAGAGGCGCGCGGGCGCGGGCCGGTCGGCCTTGCCGGCCACGAGCCACGAGTAGCGGTGGTAGGCGTAGCGGTAGCGCTTGCCGTCCACCGGCACCACGTCCAGCAGCACCGCGTAGCGCGCCTCCGCGCGGCACCCCGCGAACGACACGCGCACCGTCAGGAACATGCGCCTACCGAACGAATTGTGCATATCAATCGATCAATCTATATATTTTATCATTGTCATGATAAAATATATAGATTGATAACGATCTATAGTATCAATCTACTATTAGATTGATACTCATGACACGCTCTGCGGCCAATTGGCCGTGCTGACCATGCAATTGGTGGTGATGCATTACACTTACATCACGTCTGCAGGAACGGCAGTCTGGCAGGTGGTGGCGCTCACGGAGGGCTTTTATGTCCAGTGTGCCTATTGTTGCCTAATCCGTGTGACGTACATTCACTGTGGCTGAATTTGGTCGTATTCTGTATGGCGTTTACACGCATTGACATGCGCGACTTCGGTTGATATTTGTGCTTACGCACTATCAAGGGGCCAAGTCCTCTTTTACAGGTTCGCCAGTTATTTTGCTGTGGACTACGGTCCAGTTCCCAACTTAGCGTACCCTTCGGGGGGAGTGCATTAAAATGGTTGACGCTCACCATGCGCGGCGTGTGCGGAGCCGTGTACCTCCTCCACATTTTTTTTTAAATGTTGGAGAGCGAAGCCCTTGTATCTGGTATTTGATATAAATATTGTGAGGCTTTTCCAAGCGGGAAGGGATTAATAAATAAGGAATTAACTGTTGTGAACCTGACACAAGTGAAATAGGGACAATTTATTGTTCTTAACTATTTTGAGCTACCAACAGCTTTCGATTGCTCTCGTGAATATTCATTCTTCCAAGATACACCTAAAAGAACTAAGTTACTAAGTAAACACAACGTAAATAATGGTCCTAACTAAGACGATCATGCATATTTATTAAACGATTTAAACCTTTAGAAAGATCAATGTGCGATTAATATACTGGTCACGTAATAGATATTTTTATATATCTTATAGATTCTAAAGAAATACAAGTATAAGTATATATATATAGAGTACGAGGGGGGGGGGGGGTCGTTACACCAGGTAGGCCAGGCAAACAGTCATATACCTGCATATTGAGTGGACTGATACTTTTCAACAAAGTTTCATGATGCATCAAACATTTCATGAAAAACTAGACATAAGCTGTCGAACCATAATAACCTCCTTTGCAAGCGTGCTGGTGAAATGACAATGGGCTTTTTAATAATACTAACCAGAGGTTTATGGTCCGTTACTATCGTAATATCTGTTGTACCATAAATACAAGCGTCAAATCTATCGCAAGCAAAATACACAAGCACACAACTCTTTTTCTATTTGTGGGTATCTTTGTTCAGCTGTAGTTAACGCTTTTGACGCGTAGCATACCGGTAAACCACTTTAAATTAAGCACGCGCCCAATCCACTTTTACTGGCATCCACTGATATAGTTACAGGAACAAAACCTCATAAAACTGTAACACAGGAGTGCTGGACAAACAAGTTTTCAGATCTTATAAATGTTTTTCTAGGTAAGTCCATCTTCGACCGAGAGGTCAATCGACGGATTCAACTCGGCTGGGCAGCCTTCGGGAGATTACGACACATCATCTCGTTAGACATACCTCAAAACCTCAAAACTAGATTGTTCAACCAGTGCGTTTTACCAGTGATGACTCATGGAATTGACACGTGGTCCTTCACTGCTGGCCATATGAGGAAGCTCAAAGTCGCTCAACTAGCTATGGAGAGGGCTATGCTCGGCATTTCTCTGCGTGATAGACTTTAAAACGAGGATATCCGCAGTAGAACCAGAGTTTTCTTAAAAAAATACTGGCTGTTAAAAAATCTCCTTGAATCACAGGAAAAATTGATAGACATAATTATATAAAAATGATTGCTTTTCTTTTAAAATTGTACAGAAACAGTAGAAACCTTATCTTATAAAAATAATTTTCATAGCAACTTCCAAGCAGCTTTTACCATTTCTAAGAATTTAACTAACTTGTTAAATATCTAAGGACATAAATGTTTGACTCCTTGCAACACTGTGTTAATGTCAAAATCAGTACAAAATCAAACTTGACAATGTCTCAATGTTAACTTCTTGCTGATTGCAAAAATAATTAATTCTTAGTACGTATCATGTTCTTTTTTGTATCATGTTCGTGATATTTTCAATGGTGGGGAACAGTGACGCAGGCGAAGGCCCGGTTTCGAGCTGCACGTAAGTACAACCTACAACACCGTTTTTCGAATCTATCGTTGTACCTGTATTGAATGCTTTGTTAAAAGACTATGTAATGTTTACATTTTGAATATACTTCTATGTATTTCTCAGACGTAAACGCACACCACGCGTAAAAAGGTGGCAGATTGAGCCACTTCTGTCGAAGTCAGCAGCTCGTCCATTTTTGTTAATAAGAAAATTTACCGGCCTGCAGGTAAGAAGAATTTTAAAATGGGCTGGAAGAAAATAGCTGACGAATTCAACCAGCTCCCCGTTTCAAGACGCCAGAGCAGTGGATAACAGTTAAGTTTCTATTAAAGAATTTTCTAGATTTTCTACTAATAGCTTATACATAAATCAGCAAGCACATCGTGCAGCACTAGTGTAACTAATATTTACTTGAATACATAATGATTTATTTTGTAGGTATGTAGACTGAAAGCCGAATCTCACTAAAGCAACAAAGTTAAGGAAAGAAAGGATAACTGGCAACCGAGGCATTACCACTAAACAACAGGTGCATGAAATAATAATGCAGTCACCAGCACCACAAATAGGTAAGTAAGAGCTTTGTTATTCATTTAATGCCTACTTACATTATATATTTCTGTACTCTGCTGTTTTATCTACTATATCAGAAATGGGAAGTATCCTGTGTTAATCCAGCATATGGTATATCTATGTGCCAAAGGACAATGACAAAAAGGACCTACGTATTTTAAAATTAACGAAGCAATGTATCTATGCAAGAATATATTAATTATAATTATAAGTTTATATAAAAAATATTTGGGCTGTATAATACAGGAGTCACAAGAAATAAATTATTTAATTTATTAAAAAATAAGTTATCTTGCATTAACAGAACATTATTTGCCAATTAATGTAGTGATTATAATGTATATGACGGCACGTGCACCATTGCACCTTTGTAAATAACACGTGCTCCGCACACCTGCACCATTGCACCTGGGGTGGCGTCCGTTTAGCTTGTAAAAAACGGACGGAGCTGCCGCCGTTAGGACAGCCTTGGCTCTGACGTGGAACGGTGCGCTTTTCGTATTCCGTTACTAGTTTATCCTCAACTCGTTGGATAATTAATTCGTGTAAACGAATTAATTATTATTCCTAACTACAAAATCAGTCTCTGTATTATACCCACTATACTTCCTACATATATTTTGTTCACCAGACATTTTTTGACATGACAGCCCTTATACTTTTTTATTGTTATTGCATTCATCAATGTAATTAGTTTGTATTCAAAGTAAAAGTGGGTACCTTTTCTTCAATATTCGAAATTGTCCCACAGCTGTATTTCCTTTCACATTTCTCTTCTAGCAAGCAGTAATTAAGTAAAGACAACATAAATAATTATGTGTAAGTGTTTGATTATTAACAAAATACCATTGACTATGGAATAAACTTTAGTACTTCCATGTCACCAATATACATATAAAAGTACTTATTATAGGTACTTATATGTACTTTTTAATACAAATAATATTCAGATACAATTTAGCAATAACATCTACCCATAATGGGTGTTTTTTGAATAATACACACAAACAGTCACGCCTGTCACCCAGAGGGCTAGGCAGAGACCATGGACTTCCATTTGCCACAATCCTGATCCTTTTTTGAATAATAATTTTAGGTTATTTTCTACTTTTAGGTTATTTGCTATTTTTAAGTATATCTTTTTTCTCCCACTTTTTTAGACTTGCATCCCAGTTGCTTTTTTGTTAGTTTTGTCACGATCTACAACTAATGAACGCTACTCCTATCAGTGGGTCCCAAAATACATGCATCGCCATCCTTCTTTCATATGAATCTCTTCTGTCGTTGTAGCATGATTCATCATCATCATTACAGCCCTTCACAAGTGCACTGCTGAACATAGGCCTCCCCCAAAGAATGCCACAAAGCACGGTCCTGAGCCACCTGCATCCAACGACTTCCTGCATATCTTACCAGGTCGTCACTCCATCGACTGGGGGGATGCCCTACACTTCGCCTGCCGGTACGAGGCTGCCACTCGAGAACCTTTCTTCCCCATCGGTTTTCAGTTCTTCGAGCTATATGGCCGGCCCATTGCCACTTCAGCTTACTAATCCGTTGGGCTATGTCGGTTACTCTGGTTCTACTGCGGATATCCTCATTTCTGAGTTTATCACGCAGAGAAACTCCGAGCATAGCCCTCTCCATAGCTCGCTGAGCGACCTTGAGCTTCCTCATCCGGCCAGCAGTGAAGGACCACGTCTCAGTTCCGTATGTCATCACTGGCAACACGCACTGGGTGTACAGTCTCGTTTTCAAGGTTTGAGGTATACCTGACGAGAAGATGTGCCGTAATTTCCCGAACGCTGCCCAACCGAGTTGAATCCGTCGACTGACCTCTCGGTCGTAGTTGGACTTACCTAGTCGGTCTATTTGTCCCAGGTAAACATACTCGTCAACAACTTCGAGCTTAGTGTTCCCAACAACTACCGGCATAGGTGTGACATGGACATTAAACATGATCTTTGTTTTGTCCATGTTCATCTTAAGACCTATCCGTTGGGAAACACTATTGAGGTCATTGAGCATAGTGCTTAGGTCCTCCAGCAATTCTGCCATAAGGACTATATCGTCGGCAAATCGAAGGTGAGTGATGTACTCGCCATTGATGTTGAAACCGTATCCTTTCCAGTCCAGAAGCTTGAAAACATCTTCCAATGTAGCGGTAAAGAGTTTCGGGGATATAACTTCACCCTGTCTTACACCTCTCTGCAATTGGATAGGTTTCGTACTCTGGTTCTGTACTCGGATAGCCATCGTAGCCCTACTTTACAAGCACTTCAACACTTCGATATACCTACAGTCAACTCGTATC